CCCTGGTGACGTTTTAGAGTCCTCACATTGCTTGCGGAGATCAGCGGATGGAGCGGCTGGCACACCTAATGGTAGACGGCGCCCCAGACTAACGTCCAAGAACACAAAATTGAATCCACAGAGTATCTCCATACTGCTCATCCATAGTGATCCAAGTGTCCTGAAGCCGCGACATAAAAAGTTGTTTCGAAAAACGTCATATGAACTCTGTTTTTAGCCTCACTGTAGCCTGTAGCTCTGACTGCTTCTCTGTGAAGAATATCAATTAAATTTATTTGTTTTATTATTTATTTTATTTTATTTATATACTTTATTAATCCCCCGGAGGGGAAATTCAATTTTTACTTGGCATTAAAGTAAAAGTACTCATTTTGCTGAAAAAATGAAATGTGACTGGTATATTAAACACATGTAATTACAAATTACTTTTACTAAACTACTAAAGCTATCAATAAATGAAGTGAGCCAAGGTTCCTGTTCCTGCCACCCTCTTTATTGGTTTGCAGTTAATCAGGCTGGATCAGATGTACCTGAGAGAGAACATAAGAAATCATTAATTTACTGTTATTCATATATCATAAGAGTAGAAAGTAAGTAAAACAATTCTCTATTAAATGTAGTGGAGTGGAAGTGAAGTAGCATCAAATGGAAAAGTAAAGTACAAGTACCTTAAAAATGATCCTTTAGTAAAGTACAAAAACAAACAAACAGTATACTGTTGTATTCAGTCTAATCCCAGGTGTGTTATTCTAAATTTTGACACCAAAATTTTAATTTTTACTGCAAATGAATATCGATTCTAAATATCGGTTATCGGTTTCCTTGACTACTAATAATCGGTATCGGCCCTAAAAAAGCCATATCGGTCAATCCCTACTCCAAACGCAGGTTTTTCAAAGGCACACTCCAAACTGAGTGTCATGAGAAGTCATTGGCAGGATGGCTGCTAGTATGCCAATGGCTACCCAGCTAGCTAACGTTATATTGTTATTGCTAACTCGTGCATGACTTTTATGGCATGTGACGCCCCAAATTAAACGCAAGTCTGGCAGCAAAGTTGCTGCACTTGTTACCGCTCCTCTAATATCAGCACAGACTGGCAGGGTAGGAGCACGGGTTGCTAATGTTTGCCTATAGAGTACTGCTTGTGGCCTGGTAATGAAGCAGTGTTCTCTTTTATTTGATGACTTTATTGCTTGATGGCGTGAAACTTAAGTTGTGAACAAATCACATGCATCCTGACAACATCAAAAGGATGCCTATAGCCCATGCTAGAGAAATCATCACAGCAGAAGACGGCATATTTGCAATTTCCAGGAACACTCATCACGTCTGTTTACATAAACGGCACCATCAGCGACTACTGACTTATCTGTAGCTATATTTCCATCCAAAAGTGATTCGAATCATTGGGAAATGTGCATTAAAAGAAATACGAATGCTGTGTGTTTCCATTAAATGTACGGACTTGGGTGAAAACTACGAACTTGTGCAAGTTTTCCGCAGAACCGGAAACAAAATAAGTCTTGCATTCTTCTTCTTCTACATTTTCTGGTGGTTGGCAACCAGCTTCTAAATGCATTACCGCCTTCCCGACCTGGAGTGTGGATATCACCATAGAGAGAGGTGCGCTATGTCAGATTTAATCCTAACATAACTGTTTCCATCCCCCGTTTTGCGAATCAACATTTTTTCGAATCAAACAAAACCCAGCTAAAGTGAGCGTATTTTAGTTTGTGCCTTTCAGGGGATTTTCATTTGAATTTTGGCGTTTCCATAATAATTTTCCGATGCGATACTTCTAGATGCGCATCTAAACAGGCTGATGGAAACATGGCTTGTGTCTTGAAGGGTTGTTCCATTTCACAGGGAAAGATTTGATCCACTGACCCCTGTAAGTCTGTTCTGAGGGGGTGAGGTGGTTAAAATAAGAAATGGGATTGGGCGCCATTGTGAAATAAAAACAAACATTTTATAAATAAAAATGGCAGAAATTGAATTTAAAAAAAGGACTGAAATAAAGAATCAGAATTTTAAAAAATCATAATGAACTTAATAATGAACACTCTCAGACTCCATACATTTTGTCCAAACTAATCTTAAGGTGTAATACAGCACATTACGTTTTAGTCCACAGAATGGACATCACTCATGTGTTTCTTTATATGTTTGTCCAGCATCTAGAAATGGCTTCAGAACAGATCTTCCTGCTCTACACTGGCGTGGGTGGGATAATTTTCATTGTAATGTCATTTCTGGCTGGGGCCGCCCTGCGTTCCACAAAGAGTAAGGTAAAAAAAGACCACCACTTCTATACACATTACACTCTGTGCTGAGAGCTGTGTATGTGCCCACTTGCTACGAGAATGTCTCACAATATTTCATAAGCTTAAACAAAGCTGCAACATGAGTAAGGACAAGCTAAGTCAAGCACTGGGGTTGTCTTCTTTCTCTTCTCTTCAGGCCGTTGTAGTGATGACTGCTACGTTGGCTGAACCACCAGTTGAATAGCGAGTACAAGAGGAAGGCCTGAAGTAAGATACTGTCAACTGAGCAGAGAGAAGAAATATGAAGCATACAAGGACAGCAAGTATCTCTCTTTGTGGGCACAACAGGATGCATCATTCCCAAACACAGACTACCTCCCATCAGCATTTTTGGGTTGTTGTATACAGTAAAGATCATATGTATGTATGCATTGCCTTGTAACATCTATTACTACTGCGGTCCCACGTGAGCACTGTATTTCCCTCTTTTGAACACCAAGCTCAATGGGATGTTGGAGATGAATATGATAGGCAATTAACTGCTACTTACTCTGCAGTCTGGCGTTGGCTGACCTGTCAGCACGTTGTATTTGCACCACAGGACAAAGGTCTGAGTGAAACCAGTGTTCCTCTGAGATAGTTAAAGAAAACTTGTGTGGGCTCAAAAACATCCAGATTAATCAAAGGCAGACTTAAACAGAGATAAGCTGACAGGTGCTCTTGTTACAGTACCACATTTTGATAATGCACCCTGTAGAAAGGGATTAAAAGTTGTAACTAATGATTTTATAAATGGTTTTACTAATACTTGATTGAGCTGTTAGGCGCCATTAGTAAGAGAAGTATTTTTAGCTTTAATTCAGCAGGAAAAATCAAATCGACAGTTTGATTACAGACCTCATCCGATATTTTTCAGTAATTGTAATAAAAGAATCCTTAATTATTAACCATTAATTACATATTAACATTTATAACTCCAGATGAGTTGCAAGCTCGTGCTTATATGAGTGAGAAATCTTGATTCTTTAATCATGCTTAAATATTTTTAGAGCCACAGGCATGAGCATTTATTTTGGTTGGCATTTAGAAGTGCATTATTACCAAATGGAAACACACACAGCCATGCTAATCCCGAAACATTTAACGAGAGTGTTTTTTTAATTCTGACAACAGAGTGGGAACATCTGAACATGAAGATGTTATGTTAACAACTCCAACCATAAACATGTCACCTCCTGTAACCTGTTCTCTGCTTTTACTGTCTGAAGTGTCGAGCACAGAACCATGTGATCCTTTTCCACCTTATCGTCCCTTACAGAAGAAGTTTGGCATAGACAAGACAGAACATGCCGAGATCCTCATGGCTGCCCTTGACACATTTTTTTTTACCATGTCAGCTCATGTTTCAGCAGCAACACCCTTAAGTACAAACACTGTGACCCAACGTACTGTCCCCACTTACAGAGGACAGCATGTGAGATGCATCATTAATAGTTTTGTGATATGAACAGAGCGATGCTATTCAAATTATGACATGTCTGAACCCTTCCTATGTAACTGTCACATTACATTTGCAAGAAGCATGTTAGGTTACATATTGATTTTGGATCAATTTACCAAAACAAATAAAGAAAATTGGCTACTACTCAGAGTATGTCCGTCTTAACTGTGTGTAGAAAGGCATCAGGAGGTGTTCTGAGTTTTTATTTTAATTTAACAATATTTCACATTTTCCAACAGACCAACATAACAAATCAAACAAAGATCCATGGATTCAGATTGTGTTTGTAGCTTTATTTGCAAAACCAAACATCAAATTCAAACTTAAATATCATTATTATTATTTATTATCATTTAAAGAGTTGATGTAAAAATCTGAAAACTGGAAAAACACCAAATCTAATCAAATCTAAATCAAGATCTGACACATCTTATATCATATACACATACAAAACGATACATGAGCAGCTATTTTTTTAAAAAAGATGAGAGTGATGAGAGACAGTAGACAGAATTGCTGGACCGCTAAACAAAAAGCATAAACACACTATAAAGCTCCGTAAAGCAGGGGGAGCTGCAGATTAATGTTGATAATTCTCTGTAGGTTCATCAGCAACTCCTTTCACATTGTCATTCAGTTTTCACATTATCAATGGATACATTGTTACTATAAAAATATTAAAACTGCTTTAAGCATTCATTCGGTCCTGGGTGGAAATGGCTCAGTAGCTGCTGAATGCTCCACTATGGTCACCAGCTAGACGGACTCTCGTTTGGTACAGGGACACGTCCCTCTTATTGAGAACATGTGAGATCCACCTAATAAGAATATGAAAGCAGCAGTGGCGGAGGTCTTTCATTTCTTTCATCACCACAAATTGATGCAGAAAAATGACCAGGGTGAGGGAAATTATCAAGCGTCTGATGCTCAAAATTTCGTGGGGATGAACTCAACCTCCCCTGTTTCATATGTGTCCCCCTGCCCGATGCAGTCAGGAAATCTATGCCTTTGAATAGTACCATTTCTCAATGACAGGTGGACAAGACAATAACTTTCATGCCTCTCCTTGTTGTCCTAAGTTGAAGACGCATGGGGCTTCTGAAAGTCACTCCTGAGGACACAGCGCTGGTGAACACGCATGTGCTCTGTGACACGGTACTGACGTGAAAAAGTCATAGGGCATCGGGGACAGGAGAAGGGCCGTACACCAAGGTGGCTCCGCACATGTCGATTCAGAGAGCCTCGCTGGCTGAAGGAACGGTCACACAGAGAGCACTGGAAGGGGTGGTGAACAGGGTTTGACAGATGAGCTGATATATTTGCTGTCGTACTGGCTGGCAGGGTAGGAGGTATGCAGACAGACAAGGTAGATGACATGGAGGCTTGTAGAGAGTCTGGCACACTAGGAGGGGAACAGACTGTCAAGACAGTGGTCTGGTTATCACCCTCTTTAAGGTCGCACATCCCCTCAGCAACCCTAGCTTTATGTATAACCTCAGCTCCTGGCCTGCTTCGATCTTTACTGACAGATTTTCTTTCTTTAACATTAATTTCCCCAACCCAAGATCTAGTGTCAACCCCTGCTACAGATGTCGCTTCATTCCTTTTCTCTCTATCAGTATTCCCAAACCCACTTCCAAATGTTTTCTTTTGGCCGAATGCATTAGCAACTAGCAACTCAGCAGGTTTGGCACTAATGTCCAGCAGCAGAACCTGGTCTGTGGTCGCTGTAGCAAAGTGCTGCCTCAGAGGATTGTAACCTGGACTGGCAAAGCCACCAACCTCCTCCTCATCACTGGACTGGTCTGAATGATCAGGGTGGCTAAAGTTGGAGCGTCTGCGACCAGAGTATTCGTATGATAAGTGTGCTTCCTCCTGTGGTAGGCAGTGATATTGAAGAAGTCCATAGTATGATGGCCCCACAACACTATACGTACAGTCAGACATGTTGGGGTCCACAGTAAAAGTTATGTTTGGCTCTGTGATCTCAGTGCCTGACATCTTGTCAAACTCCATAGATGTGCGGCGTTCAAAGCCAGAGAGACCACCAGTGACACTATCCAGACATGATTCAAGTGTGGTGGAGACATGACTTCTGTCTGTCATACCTCTGTCTGTGTTGTCTGAGTCACTTTCATGCTGGCTAGAAGCAGCAGCTTTTGTGCTTGTCTCAGTTCTATCCAAGTTGCAGTGGCCGTCCTGTTTATCTGTTTCAGCTGGACATCTCGAATAACCGTCTTCCTCTTTCGCTTCTCCTTCAGCACACAAACTTCCACAGCGCGGGCCACTTCCTGTGTCTGTATCCTGTACAGGAAGTGGAACATCAGGTTTCGGATCTTGTGAGCGAATGGACTGCTCCTGTGTTGCCTTCCGGACATTGTGGCAATCTGAACCTTCTAGTCGCTGATGCTTGGAGGGGACACCCTCAAAATTAAGATCATTTTTATACTTTAATCTTCTGGCAAAACTGCTGCAATCCCTATTCTGTGGCCCTGAATCATCCCTAAAATGTTTGATAGGATTCTTGTTCTGAATTGAATCACAATGAGCATGGCCATCATTATGATCTGTAATGGGGGATAATCCATTGCTCGTATGTTCATCATTCTGTCCTATCAAATCATCTGCATTGCTGCAGTTGCAAACCTGTTTTAGGATGTCAGATTGATTTGAAACATGCATGTAATCCCAACTCCCACTGTGATCTTTACTGTTTCTGCAATCCTGATTCTGTACTGCACAATGTTTCTTGTGTCTAGTGGTAGCACCTTCATCAGTGCTCTCATTGTTAATGCTTTCTGGGTCAGGGGCCCTGCTGGAGCTGACTGGGGCTTGAGATACTGGATGATAAGGAGAATGCATTGGAGACATCTCTGCCAACTGGATCACTCCTGCACTACTGCTGTGACAAATGACAGGTACTGCCCCACAGCATGGATGTGGTGATGATGAAGAGGATGAGGAGGAGTACTGTGAGGGCGAAACATAGCCCTTAAGGTGAGTGGTTGAGAGACAAAGAAGGGGAGAGTGACGGATTGGAGTCTTGTCTTCCTCTTTTCTGTTAGTTTGCTTCTCCTCTGCTGCTGTGCTCGTCTCTTCCTCTTGTATCCCGGCAATGCAAAGTAAATTTGAGCTCGTCTTGCTCCCAACTGTCTGCTCTGGCTCATCTTCTGTGCCCCTCTGCCAGGTCTCTGGTTTTACAGTGCCAGCTGAATGAGCTGAGTCAAACGGATCCTTTTGCACCTCTTTGTCTACTCCAGAAACCCTGTGCACTTCAGTGGTGCAGTTGATGTTTTGAATCAACTGCTGTGGTCTGCAGTTACCTGTATTGACGCTACTTTCAATGCTTTCAGATATACTACAGAAGGCACTTCCATCTTTTTTGCTACAGTGGTTTGCATCATTTTCGCTGCAACTTCTGCATGGATCTATATTATCGCATGTGTCCACATTGGGTGGATATTGATGATCCTTTTTCTCCAGTGATGATGGCAGATACTTGTCTTCATGTGGTTTATTGGAGGCGTTTACATTATCTGCAGTTTTCACCTCAGTCTGCAAAGCCCTCAGAGCATTCTGCAGTTCATCCATCTGCAGGTGGCAGGCAGCAGTGAGCAGATTGTAATACTGGTGCTGGCTATGAGTGGATGGCAATGCCCCTGTGTAAATATAGTCCAGAAGAAATGCAAGCACAGAGTCAGACAAACATGGAGCCTGCAGTTCCACCAGGGCACCAGTAGTGGACAAAATAGACGCCAGCACTGGACTTGAGGCTGCCAGGACACACCTTGGAGAGCAAAGAGCAACATGTGATGCTGTGTGAAATCATGAACATTATGTTAGACATGCCACCAATAAAAACAAGAATTACTGACATGATGCCAATATGTACTTGCTGGTACATTGCGTGTTTGTTTAGCTCACCTGTGTGCAGGGTGCAGTTGACCCGGGCTCTGTATCTGTCTGACCACACAGTCACAGAACTGAGCTCGTTCTCTTTGGAGGTTCAGACTTGCCAGCAGCGATGCTGCGTGGCTACTAGCTTCCTGGACACAAGGTGCCACCTGCAGAGTACAGAGCTCAGTCATTAGTGGTTATTGATGACAAGACAGTTTATTATAATTATCATGGCAGACAGCACAAAGGGAGGTAAATTACATTTTATGCAATGAGGATAGACAGGGCGAACCAACAAACACATTCCTCATTCTAATAAATGTACTATCCATTTTGTCCATCTTGCAATGCATTTCTTAATTTTAGCAAGAAAGTCAGTCTTTCCATCTCATGAATCTCTTTGATGATTTCAAGTCAGTCACCTTCTGTAGGTGGGTCGGGTTGTAGCCATATACAGTCGCATTTTTTGCTTCTTTTTGCACCTACTGTCAATATTTTAATAGGTATCTGTCATTTCCTGTTATTTTTTCTGGCAGATTGATAGCATATCATATAAATATGTTTAATGTACATAAATGTCAATAAATCAGTTTATATAAACAATGAAAACAAAAAGCCATGATGATCAAAGTGTTACTTGATTATTTTAACTTTTTAGTGAAGGGCATAGTAGTAATTACTGTAATGTTTGAACATGTACATCAAATAAATGAATATTCTCTTACCTCCATGTTATATTGGAAAAGGAGTAAAGAAATCCCTCTATCCTGTTGTGTGCAGTGAAGAGCTTGCTGTGTGCAGTGTCTCAGCGGTTCTTGCTTGCAGTTGAATGGAGAAAATAACCTCTATAGAGGCTATATAGTGCCAGTCTACTATATACGCACACTGTCTCATTCGGAAAACAATCACACGCTTTTCATATTGGGAGCTTGGTGTGACGCAGAGGGACAGGTGCTTATATGGAACGCTGGCGTCTAACGTCACAATCTCCATGACCCTTTATGGATGGGGCTTGAGACCAGCCCAGCAGGAGGCCACAGAACTGTAGCAAACAGAGCCACTACTTATATTCACTTCTCAATAAGATGGTATCAGGAAAGTCATTTTTTTTAAATGCACAAATATGCAATCATTCCAAAGCTGACATTATGGGGAAAAATTACTACAAGACCGTGCCTACCATGTTTATAAAAGAATAATGATCTCATTCTCTTAGGGAGTCCCCTATTTTGTCTTTGTCCTGCAGGGAGGTCAGAGGTCATGGTCAGTTAAAAAATGGTGTGTAGTATGCACTGCTGTGGAGTTTAAGGGCACATGCTTGTGCACACAGTTGTCAAAGCAGTACATATGTCAAACTGCATCAATTATCAAATCTTAAATTGGCTTTATTTGTCAACTTCAAGTCTCCAGGAGAGTCTGCAACTGTGATCCCAGCTGCACCTATCGCAAATACACTCAGAAAGACACCTGCGATGCATCTAAACATTTCTATATGCACCAATTCTAGGAAGGAAAACTTCCCCCGTGCCAGGACAGTGAGCCAGCCCCCAGCCTGACGCTTTGTTGACAACTCCATACTAAGCCATTTCTCCACCCTTCCACACCATGTGCTTGTCATGCCTTTTAAGCTCTACAGCACTCTAATGTTACCACCGCACATTCAGCTGTACTGGTCAGTAGTACATTTCCCTGGCAACTGTGCAATGGAAATGCTACTGGGACACTTTCACATAGCGGCCTACTTAGAATGAGTCTTGTGGCACTGCTTAATAATAACTTCTTACACAGCTCATTCCAGTGCCAATTAAATATATGTATAAAATGTGTATCACAAACATGTTTTTGCAAAACGTGTATATAAGAATATGTAGCAGATGACTTAAAAAGCAAGTTATTTTTTAGGTGTGCTATCCAATTTAGTAATTTGTTTACTTAATTTAACAGTATCAACCATCATTTGTGATGAATAATTAATAATTCAGTGTATGAGTGTAAGGTTGCAGAATGAAATATACTGCATATTAACACACATACCAGTAATTATAACATTATTTAATTAATTTTGTTAATTATTTAACATAATTTTGAAAAAAAATGATGCTGTAATGAAACAATAATGGCACACACACAATAGAAACGTGTGTGCTGGACAAATGGTGGCTTAGAGTAACCCCACTCACTGGGTGCATGGTGACATAGCTCACGTACTGTACTAGCAGCACGCCAAGGAGGGAAGGTCTCCATTTGGCAAGCACAAACACACACATACACAGCTACAACTTTTAGGAAACACATCATGTTCTGGGACTATATCTATAAATCATCTCAGGGTTAGAGGCCAATTGGTGACATGTTGATCCATTTTCAACTCTTAAATTCTTAGTAAGAGCGCAGTAAGTCACACATCATTATAGTATTGACATGGTTCCTGAATCAGGTAGAACTCAAAATAAGGCCGTAGCAATGGAGGTGACATTGCCCCCCCAGAAAAAGTTTAAAAAGTTGATAACTCATTTCCTAATATATTAGGAAATTTGTCAGGAGATTATTATTTATTATAAGCAAGCACAGCTATACAGTATACTTTATGAATATGCAATAAAAGAAAGCTACTGTCGACATAGCTTACACTTGCATAAATTATTGACAATTTACTCAGACTTCACATGAGCTATCTGCAAATATAATATAATGAAGACATTAACGTTAGTGGAATACATCCGGAGTATGGCAACACCACTTCTGCAAAGCACATGCAAAACTGCAGTTCACCATATACTAGAAATAGTACTCAAACTGGTAATAATAAAGGCAATTTGTTAAGCTTATAAATGATTATGATTACATTTGGTAAATTTTTAGCATATTCAAATATTGAGGAGATGGGTCTCCCCCCAGTGATTTATTATAATTACTGCCTTGACACAAAAACACACCTTAGTTACAGCTGCAAAGACACAAAGTTGTCAAGACAAAATCAGGAAAAGTCAGAAAAGGCCATCTTGCAATAAGGTCAAGCAAAAAAAAAAAGCATCTTCAAGTGTGTCTGCATTTACCTTCCGTACTAACATCAGGCCAGACTTTACATTCAAATGTTAAAAATCCCAATGGGCACTTTGTACAACATGAACTGACACTTGGGGTTATATTTACAACCACTTGAGGTTATATTTACTATTTTTATTGTTGAAGCAACTGAAGCCAAAATTCTCTGGTGCACAATGATACTTCTGTGTCTGAGGTTGTTGAGGACACCCATAGCTTACGTTCTGTACTACCTTCCAGCACAAGTTAGAGCGCAGGGCTTTCCTTACAACACATGCGTACAGTGTGAAGCTGATTCAACATGATTGCTGTGCCTGCAGACGCACTGCAAGAGTGCACCTCATATACATGGAACTTATTTTGTTTAAGAGCATAACTTTGTAGGTTTTGGGCAAAGACAGATAAATCAAAGTACTGGACAAATTGAAATACTGACCTAATGATGGCACTGGATGAGTAGTCAGGGGACAATCAAAGTTCACAAAGACTAATTTGGTGTATAAATGTCCACACCAAATTGCATGGTCATACAAGCAAAAATTACAAATGTCAGCCTGTTGGTAGCACTTGCGGAAAAGTCAGGGGATCCTCTAAATCATCAAAGGATAACTTCCAAACTGGACCCTATTTTCTCATGTCTCTGTGTCTAAGTGAACAATCAGAGCAAAGTTTTTGAATTTGGACCAGTATTGAGTGAAACTGCTGCAGCCTGCTGCAGCCAGCAGTGGCAAAACCAGCTGCAATAAAATCCCTGCGATTTTAAGTGTCTGACAAGTTATGGAAAGGATTCCAACAGATATTGACATTTTTGTAAAAGAATAAGATCCTTTTTGTTTAACAGAAACAGCCAACCTCACCCAACTCCATTCACATAAGCTGTAATTTTAGCATGTATAGAGCCGACATATTTTCATATCTAACTGGTAAGTTAAGGGTTTATTTCAACCAAACCAGATCTGGGGATTGTTGGAACAGGGGAGAAACAGAGGTGAGGACAAACAAAGACAGCTTTTATGAGTTTTATTTTGTTTCTGTCATCTTGGGATTAAGTGGGTTATCTAATAATAAAATAACTGTTTATTTAAATGGAATTTGGTGGGTTCAGTGATGTAATTTCAGGGCTATTACTGGTTAATCAAAAAGGATCTTACTCCTTAACAAAAATGCCTTTCTCTGTAGTAGTCCTTTTGATAAGTAGTCAGACACTTATAATAATCTGAGCCTGTCAGTGGCAAAAATAAGCACTTTTAGTGGATATAAATTGTGGATGCTGCTGGCTACAGCACAGAGGGTTAGTACTGGATTAATACTGAGGCTACCATTTAAGATTCTGTCTCTGGGCACCATCAATGTCTGTACCAAACTTTCCTTGAAATCCATTCTACAATCGTTGGGATATTTCAGTCTGGTCCAAAGGGATAGATCAACTGACCAACAGAGCCATATCCAGAGGCATGTTACTGTAGTAGTATGGCTAAAAAAAACAAGTCCTTAAAGCCTCTGACAGAATTTCCAAGCCCCAAGTAAATGTTCATGACACATATCATCACAACATAGTTTTCATGTGTACCTCAGGAGTTCTCCAAGGTCAGGAGTTCCAAAGCTACCCATGCTAAAATGTACCCATAGCACTTCAAATAAAAAGGATCAACCAAACAGGATGCTGTGTCATCCAAGTAGACACACATCATGCCAACCCAGCTCAAACTGCTTCTGCAAAACACACAGTTCAGAGCTCCAGCTGTTAACCTCTTGTCCTGGTTCCATTTTTACACATGTAACATCATCTTCATCTCGCTTGCTAACTTCTGCTCACACATCCAGAACATCGTAGTCATGATATTTGGTGACTGCTAATCTTAGCTCATTGGCATGACACCGTACACACTCATCCGTGCATTAACACCCTTGCAAAACACACACAGTAGCAGCAGATCAGCGCCTCTAAACTGCCAACAGACGTACCATGGAGCAGTGATTCAAATAAGACTGGAGAGCATTCAAAAGTGACAGAGCGTTTTGTTGGCCTTGGGTGCATACCGTATACTGAAACTGGAACGTCCCTGGTTCAACTCCAGCCAGGGATTTTTGTTCCAGTGCCAGGATTTCTTGTCTCTGTTTTCTATTAATAAAGGCTAAAAGGCAAGAACTTTTTTATTTTATTTTGGATCTTAGATGTGGCAGCAGCACTTCATTTGTCAGATACCCACGGAATCATGCACATACCATCCTTTTAATGGCACTTTGTTTTGATAACATTCATGGCTGTAAAACCAATGGAGAATAAACAAAGTAAAATGCAGACGTGACCAAGAGGGTGCAGCTGCAGAATCATTTTAAAACAGAGTTTACCATGTGTCGTGGGCACAGCCTACACGGTGTGGTCCAAATACCTGAGACAAGGCAAAAATAAAAATCAACACATGAATATTTAAAAGTTAATCTGATATGAAGCTTTTAGTTGTTGAGGCATTTCCAATAAAAGCCTTAATCATTTGAAAATGGACTGTGTGCATGTGATTCTTCCTTTCAAAATGAATCCCTGAAAGCATGTGGGCATCTGAAGATTACACTCATATGTGACGCCAAAACCATTGGCATTATTAAGGAGTTCACTAGCAAGTACCACGCCAGAACAATATGCCGTTTAAATGTTTAATTGTAATTCAGAAAGTGTTAGCTGTTGAAGACTGTTGAATGGATGTAAGTGGGTGAAGGTGGAAGAGGGATGTCTTCTGAGAGGTTGATCTGGGAGGATGTACTGGAGATCGGGCAGAGGGAGACTCAAGCTGATTACAGGCCCCCAGAAGGTACCTAGAATG